AATTCCAATCTTTAGCCGATCTCCCCCTACAGCTAAGGCAGCGCAAGGCTACTGTAAAATTGGTCGCAGATGAATGGTGCAACACGTTCAATGATATTCGATACTTTGTGTATGCCAGAGCAGTGGACTATGTGCATGTCAAAACGCCAGATCTCGGTGGAATCAAGAATACCATCAACGCCGTGCTGCACTGCCGTGAAAATGGCATGGGTTGCTGTCTAGGTGGTTCGGCAAACGAGACTGATATCCCAGCCCAAGACCATCTCTAACGTCTTCACCAAGTTTGCTGCGCTGCTGCATGGCCACCATGGCAAGCCCCCAAGCAAGCTTGCAGTGCTCCCAGGTGTCAGGTGATGGTGACCCCTAATCTTGGACCTGTTGCGGGCGCCATCATCGTCTGGAATGGCCCCGTCGATAATCTGGAGTCTAAGGACTCAGTGCTGGATCGGCCGCATTGCAAATTTGGCGCCTCTTATGCAGGGCCCCCCCGGTGCAGACACAACCACAACAGCCTATTGATGACTTTTTCACTTACCTAAACACCCTACTTCCTGCCACTGTCACTGGCAAGTGTCACACAGCCACTGTGCCAAGTTTCACGCCTCAAGTTATCGCCAATCTGGCTGAATCAGCTGCCACCGTTCCAGCCGGATTTACCGGTGGTATTAACATGCATATCCTTCGCGCTGATAACCCTCCCGATCGGATGAGGTTCCTACATCTGTCCTTCCCTACCGGAAGCCACATATCATGCTTGAGCTCTTAGGTTTCGGAAGCGATGGGGAGTCGTCTAAACAAGCAGCGAGCTGAGCTCTTGTGGCTCGAACTCGTTTCTTTGCCTGCAAGGACTGTACGGGAGGAACGTATCTCCCGCTCACGGCCCCGGAACTCTTGGACCTGGAGAAAACATAGGGTGATAACTTGGCTGAACTGAAACAGATGAAAGCAGAGGATGATCCGAATGGGGTCGTCAAGCATACTGTACCGGCTTTAATCTAGACGAGCAGTCACAGACGGAGATACAAGGTTCTGACCGTGGTTAAAACAAAGGCATAATTATCCAAGGCTACTAAAACCCCGTTAAATTACGTTCTACACGAGCTAGAAGGGCTTGCGGTGCCTAGGCGCCGTTCCAGTAGGGAGCTACAAGCTATTTACCCTGGGTAAGGTAAAGTAGGCGGTGGCACATGTAGAGTTTATGTCGTAATAGTCCGGGATCGAGAACTATGAGCCGGCGTATTTGTGGCCGCTTAATTTGTCAGGAAACATCTGCTCAACTTACCTCTGCAAAGACCCGGGAAGGAGTATAGACCGCGGTTCAAAGGATTTTCCACTCTTTTTCGGCGACGACAATAGACCAAGTCCTCTACTAGGTCTGAAAACGTGTGGTAGACTTAGGACTTAGTAGCAACCAAGAAAGTTGTCAAATGTCGGTATTTCCATATCCGTCTGAGTTGTCACATAGGTGTATAGAAGTGATTGACCAACGCTACCCCAAGTTAACAAGCATAGTCTCTCCCAGCGGACAAAGGTAAACGTGGTCAGAAATTAGATTATACACGTCCATTTCGGGAGTACTTACATTGCTAACACTATGTATCACAACTAACCTTGTAACCCTGAAAACAAGAATGCAGGTAGCTTCTAAACAATATCCATTGTATCTAATGTTGCCTCCTCACTCGTAACAGCGCCGCCACAACTGGCGCTAAATCTAGTACACCTATAGCTGGCTCTGGACTCTTTCACCCCAGCTCCTCGGGTAATCTCTCCTCTGTGAACCACTTGACACTTTTACGCGGTCCTTGGGCGCTTTCCAGGTCTGCATAGAGGGCATGCTAGGAGCAGATGGTGCTTGACCTGACCATTTTTTATTATTCATAGCGACAGGCCAGTCTGCCCCAACCCTACTACTTCACGTTGGCTTGGTATTGTCTATGGCGCGGATAATGCCTTTATACGGGCGCAACTTTTCGCGAGAGACACAGCGACAAGGTAAGCTATTTCACTATCATCTTTGACCATATCTAGAAGGGCAGTTGCCGGTGCGGGAACCACGGCGATATTCTTCTCTGTAGGCGTCACATCATTGCGTGTTGGGGAGCAATTTGCTGTATGATACCGGGTGCATTAAGGTCCTCAAGGTGAAAGGTATTTTTACTCCAGGCAAACATAAACGCACTCGCAGGCTCCTTGCTATACAAGGGGCCTAAATTGAGGCCTTGGGCCATAGCATTGCCAAGCTGCTGTGCCGGGAGATTTTGGCCGTCATGTGGTCTGATTGGTTAGCTTTGCTAGAGTATTTTTAACGTTATACGATTTGGAACGTACAGGTAGCCATGATTAGTTAGTGGGTTTAACATTGGGGGGGGGGGGGACTGGGAGAATCATTTGGGGCTGGAACTTGCCATGGTCTTATGCTCTGTTTTGTAGCGACAGCCAAGGCAGCGAGATTAATGAGGACGAATGTGTAGAGCATGGTTGTAGGAAGTTTCTTTTCATTACACCAAGCAACATGAGAGATTGCTATCAATTTACTGGAGTGGCTAGAGTTGCTTTATATAATCCCTTTCGCAATAAGTTTTGTGAGAACCTCCAAAACACCAAGTCCGTTGACCCTAAGGACTCCGATACACATCTCAAGTGCCTCGCTCTCTCCCCGAGGAAAATGATAGAAACAGACAGATTACGCACAAAATTTAACTTAAATACTACCTGAAAAATCAAAGGTTGGATCACTGTTCGATATCTAGTCGGCGCCCACGTAATTGCTGCGGAAGGTACCTACTTGGCGCTGAATGTGTGGGCAATAATACCGACTGTGGCACGACCACCTCCTTCAGTGGCCATTCTGACGAAGTTGCCATCTCGCACGAGCCGGATGGAAAAAGCTAGGCGTGGACAGGTAAAAGAAAAAAAAAAGTTGCACTCTTGATGTAGTCTATCTGTGGCCTGGCTCAACCCGTGTACGTGAACGAAATGGGCACGAGAGTGCGTGAGCTTGTCATGCCGTGTGCCGCCCGACGCGTTTGGGGCTATCGGGATCACAAGGGTATCAGGCCTGCACATTATATAGCCTGGAGTACTGTACTGTACACACATTTTGGTGACGGTCTATGTATATGCATTGGCACACTCGCTGTCTTATCGTTAGTTGACATACTTGCTTGAACGCCTCAAATCGGTCCAAGGAGCTCTGTATTTTGTAATGACTGCGGTAGCGTAAAGATTGTGGTAAATCTCCACTTTTCTCTTCCTGAAATTAGGACCTAAGACTGACAACCGGTCGGACTTCGCAGCTTCTATCTCGAGTAATTCCAGCTGCAGGGGGTGGAATTACGCCTGGCTGTCTCCCTCAGCATGCATAGGTATGATGCCTCCTACATCGCCACCCAGACTTTGTGACTTCAAGACTAGCATTATATCTGCCGTGCTACTGGAAACTTAGCCTGTCAAGGAGATATTCGAAAATATTTGTGAGGAAATCGACCATGATGGGGATGGTGATGGAGTTGGAAGGGCTGCGGCGGGCAATAACGTATAGTCAACCGGCAAGATTGGCCGTTATAATATAGTTTTAGCGTATATACCTGGCGGCTGTGGTGACATCTAGCCTGAAACAAACCTTCGGAAGCATCAAGCATGTATACTTGCTGGGATCTGCGGAGCACTCTCCAAAAATGATACCGAGAATACCGCCAGGCGTGATATTATGCTCGGAAAGCAGACGATCTAATACGGTTTTGGGCTGCAGTATCTAGATGGATTTGAGAGTAGAGGCAAACTAGAGGACAATTTTGGCAAGCGAGCGCCCGAAATCCGAGCGTCCGAAATCCGAGCGTTTGCGGCGAATCCGGAGTCCGCGCGGCGGGGCCTGAAGTACATCCAAATATCTCATACCAAGCCTGATTTCAAGAACGCTATCAACCCTCGTGCGCTTAAGGACAATCTCTTCTCCAAATTACTGGAACATGCACCACGATCGTGAGACTTGTGAGTGTAGCAGTAGCGACCAAATTTGCGAGGCTGCAAGGAACTGCTCTTGCAGAGGAACTCCAGTGTGATGTCGATAGATTGGAACTTCACGGGAAGCTCAAACAGAACCCGACATGTAATTTGGCTCGATTGCGTCTGGCGATGAAAGTTTTGAAGTCTGTAAGGACCGCGATAGACTTGCCACGAAAGACAATGCAATTGATTCTTAGAAAGATGGCGCAGGCATATGTCCTATGTGGTAGTTGATGGCGTTTGTGATAGCTCCCGGCTCGATGATGGTTTCTTCAGCTTGAAATGCTTGGTAAGATCTTTGGGAGATCGGCCCGAGTAAAGTGGGTGAGCTCGGATATTGCGCCGAGTCCCAAGGCATTCCCGGACTATGGTTTCAGCCCCTGTATTTACTAGTGAGGCCTTTTGATATTGTAGTAGACGATTATCCTCAAAGATCCTGTGGAGCAAGTACAAAGCTTGGCATATTGAGCGATTTTTGGATTTCCATAGATAACAGACTGTGGGTCTCGGTATCTACCCGTCGACACTTTCCTATCGCAGTTAATCTCTATTATGCGAGAAGCTAGAAATGAGAATTAATTCGATGGAAGATTGCGGGACTTCTGACAATCCTTTAGTCAGGTGGAGGCGAGGATCCCACACACTGGCTCAGTCCCTGATTCTGCCCAATCCTGCAATTTAATGAAGTCTGGAATTTGTAGGCTGAGTTGACGCGCCGATCATCCGGGAAAACGTACCAGTTTAGCTAGCTCCTACCGGCATGCTGGGACAAGTGGAAAACTGCCGGCTCGTAGAGACTTTTTCATGCAATTACGTCTGACATTTCGTGTTAATGGCATGATAGTCTCCACCGCTAAGTCTCGACATAAGAGGAGTCAAAGTCATTGTGGTATTAGTACAAGATGGAAATAACAATCTTGGGGATATAAAACCGCATGGGAGAAGCAGCAGTGCTTTTCTTCCAACCAATGTATCCAATACAGTCTTTTACTATGCTTCGTCAACTCGTTCTTCTCAGTACTTTGACGGCCACCTTGGCCTGTCCCACTCACCAGATCAAAACCACTTCCAAATACGACTACATCGTTATTGGTGGTGGTACTAGCGGTCTGGTCGTTGCTAACCGCTTGTCAAAAGATCCTAATGTCTCCGTCCTCGTGATTGAGGCAGGTAACTCGGTGCTCAATAACGCCAATGTCACCAACGTCGGTGGCTATGGACTAGCGTTCGGCACGGATATCGACTGGCAATACAAAAGCGTCAACCAGACCTATGGGGGCAATAGAGAGTTAGTTTATCGTGCCGGTAAAGCCGTGGCTGGAACTAGTGCCATTAACGGTACTGCCCCCCCTCCCTTTTTTTTTCCCCTTTATATAGACGGTTTCTTTAAGATGGCATAAAAGTAAATCTAATCTTATCATCAAGGAATGGCCTACACCCGAGCCGAAGATGTCCAGATTGATGCATGGCAGACCATCGGCAACGAGGGCTGGACATGGAAGAAACTGCTGCCTTACTATCTGAAGAGTGAGAATTTGACCATTCCCAACCAGAACCAGGTTTCCAAGGGCGCATCCTATAATCCCTCCCTTCATGGTACGTCTGGCCCTCTGGATGTTGGTTTCTATGATATCCCCGACAATGACTTCACCGGGATTCTCAATGCCACCATTAATGGACTGGGCATCCCCTGGGTTGAGGATGTCAATGGCGGGAAGATGCGCGGTTTCAACATCTTTCCTTCCACTATCAATGTGGCGGCCAACGTGCGTGAAGATGCCGCCCGCGCATACTACTGGCCTGTTGCCTCCCGCGACAATCTGCATCTTCTGGTGGACACCTTTGTCAACCGCATTGTCTGGCAGGACAAGGCTGACAATAGTGGCCATGTCACCGCGTCCGGAGTCGAGGTTACTTTGGCAAACGGAACGACGTCGGTCATGTCTGCCAACCGGGAGGTCATTGTCTCGGCCGGAGCCCTCAAGTCTCCAGGGATCCTCGAGTTGTCCGGTATTGGTGATGCCACCCTCCTTGAGAAGCACAAAATTCCTGTCCAGGTAAATCTTCCCACCGTGGGCGAGAACCTCCAGGATCAAACCAATGCCGAGTCGGGCGCTGCTGTCAAGGCCAGCATGACTAGCGGGATGCACGTCGTTTACCCCAACGTGTACGACATCTACGGCAACCAGACCGAATCCCTGGCCCTGTCTATGCAAAAGAAAATTAAGGATTATGCCAAAGTCACTGCCGAGGTCAGCAACGGCGTCATGAAGGCTTCAGATCTAGAGGAGCTGTTTCAGGTCCAGCACGACCTTATTTTCAAGCAGCGTACCCCCATCGCCGAGATCCTCTACGGCGCTGAAGGCGGTAACGCTGTCTTCTCCGAGTATTGGACTCTTCTTCCCTTCTCTCGCGGTAATGTGCACATCTCCTCAGCTGACCCTAAGGCGATGCCCATTATTAACCCCAACTTCTTCATGTTGGACTGGGATATGGACAGCATGGTTGCGCTGGCCAAGTACATTCGTGCCTCGTTTAGTGCTGGACCCCTTGGGAAGCTCGTCGAGCGTGTGACTATTCCCGACCCTGCCGTTATCGGAAATAATGCCTCTGATGCTTCATGGAAAGAGTGGCTATTGGACGGGCACTGTAAGTTTCCCGACCAAGAAAAAAAGTCATGGCTATAGCTAAACCTTCCGTTGATAGACCGCTCAAACTTCCACCCCGTGGGAACTGCTGCCATGATGCCCCGTGAGAAGGGGGGTGTTGTTGATAACAGGCTGAAGGTGTACGGCACCTCTAACGTCCGTGTGGTTGATGCTTCTATTCTTCCTTATCAAGTCTGCGGTCACTTGACTAGCACCCTATATGCCGTAGCTGAGCTTACTGCTGAGTTAATTAAGCACGACTCTACTTGATTCTAGAAAAAATTATGAGCGATTTTGCGCTACTATTGGATCTTCTTATCTAGCCAAGGAGCCTGCTATAGTGTGATAGCAATTATAGTTATATGTCTCATTATTAGTCTCCGTTTGTTCCGCCGTATACCTCTCAAATTAACTTTTTGTTACCCTTTGGGGATGTACATAGTTGCCTGGTTATTGATGACCCCCCCCTATCTAGCAAGTCGGTCTAATGACAGTCTCGTTCCCGATATGTCTTCCCATGGATAATCCCATTGTGCAACTGTACGCTAGTCTAGCCACTCCGACCGCCTGATGGTTGTTAAATTCTTCTCATCTAGCATTAAGTTAAGAAACTAACCAGTTAGACCTCCTGAAGCAAGCTTATGCCTGTCATCGATGTGCACATGGATAACTGCACATGCGCGGTGGTGAATTCGCACGCCGACGGCTCCCCGACAGTATGTCTACGACGTTTTGAATCTATAGCTGTGGACATATGTCTATAGAGTCAAGCCTGCCCTTTTGTAGTAGGATAATTTCTAAATCAACACGATTCCGCAGTACACGTGCGAAATCTACCCAGCCAGAATCCTCGTGGACGTTAGCGCTTGACCTATAACTCGCCTCCTAGTGTAAAACAACGTCGGTTGTTGCATGCAGACGTAGATATCGACACGGCGAGATCTGCCTGATTGGTTTATCTTGTTGGATAGATAATATACACCAGACAGTAATGGCGTAAAAATTGCCGTTCTTGATAGCCAGCCTTTAAGCGGTGCACCGGGCACAGCTCCTTGGTGATTTTTCTTTCTTTTCAAAACTATAACTTGTGGCTGTGAGCGACCAGGCGGGAGGACTGGAGATGCGAACCAGGTCCGGGTTCAGGCTCTTCATAAAATATGGCACTTGATCTCGAAGCCATGTCTGTTCCGCCATGCGAAGATGATTCTTGGCATCTTCCAGGTGAGAGTTGACGAACGGAAAAAGTTGGCTGCTGGCCGTACGAGCTGCCTGTCGGGCAACCTGGGCAGCGTCAGCGACCTGTTGAAGTAATATCCGTCATGTTGACCACCAAAAGCATGTACCTAGTTGGTTCATTGGCCTCAATTACAGGTCCAACGAACGCCCGTCGTTGAACAGGGTAACAATGTCCAGTCTCCGAGTCTATAAAACGCCCAGTCCCTTCTCCATTTCATCTCAAATCACCTTCAAGATACCATCGACTCGCGCCGCTCCATAGAACGCCTCATTGTAACACGCACTAAACACCATCTGTCCCCTCCAAGTCCAGAGGTAGACCTGGAAATCACCCGTCAACATGGTCGAGCTAACCATACTTGGTAAGCTCCCAATCTCCATAACGAGGACTGATAAAATCATCAACGACACCCATACTTGACAGGTATGGCGTGCTGCTTGGGGTAACCTGGCCGGCCGCAAGCATTTGCTTATACATGGCCATACCGGGGACGAGACAGCTGACATCACCGTGTGCGAAAGTAAACGGCTTTTTATAATCCTTTTGAAGGCATTGAGAAATTTTGTCAAAGTTGCTTTCCTTGCCGAGATCGACCGCAAATGGAAGCGCTGTTTGAAGACTGCCAATGAAGTGCTGGTTGGCGCGGAAAGGCTCTGGAAACCAACGTCGTAGATCAATAGTGGTAAATTGAGTGTATGTTGTGCCCGTTTCACCTTTTTCTTTTTGAATTTTCTATTGTAACATGATTAGTGTTGATACTTCTTTGTACCGTTCTTGAGTTAGATCAAAGGACACATACCTGGACTGCTATGGCTAGGGCAGCATGCCAAGCTGTGGTAACAGTTAAGCCCTTAATCTTGCAAGCATCAACAATCCTGTGCGAATCTTTCTCACTTAAAGACAGCTCTCTGTGAACTGGCCGACCAGGTGTGCGTCCAAAGTCCACTCCGGGTAGTCTAACTGGCTTGTCTTGCACGAAACGCTTAAACAAATCTCGCGCATCCTCGATATTCTGCTGAGATGGACTTTGCGAAAACTTGATCCACTCATCCAGCGGTCTTGTAAGATTTGGACTGCTGGTGCAAGTACTGCCGTTAGTCTGTTCATCTTTTGGCTGCTTGGACAGGCTCTTGAAGAGGGCATCGAAAAGATACAACATGCCGCGGCCGTCCAAGAGGGCATGCATTGCCTGTATCACAAGTTCGTTTGTGTCAGGCAAGAAGTGAAGTGTGATGGAAAACTGGCTTTTGAAGTTGGAGAAGAGTTGATCAGCTGTAATACCGTCGTGGACTTCAAACGAACTCTGCAGCCACCACTCCACCGATGCATCGTCGTCGGGCCCAACCACCAAGCGTTGATTGACCGGGTCAACCGTGGCGGGAATGCTAAAGAAGTCATGGCGTATGTCCTTCCATGCTTGTTTCAATGCCTCTACTACGTCCACAAAACCCTTTCCACGGTACGCAACGGAGACGCCAAATCCAATCATCCAGTGGACTGGCTCGCCTTCGGGAGTAGCCAAGCTGAGATAAAACGTCTCCATTGAGCCCATTTTCCTCTGCCAGGAGTCGTTCTTCTCCTTCCAACTGTGAACCTGGTCCATGCTAAGGTTGAAAAACGCAAAGCGGTGAAAGAGTGACTCTCGAAAATAGCAAATTGGAATTTTCCCTCGAGAAGGTTTCGCTAGAAAAATCTGTCTCTTGACCAGAAGTGCTTTTACGATAATACAAAAAACCAATCAGAGAGTCCGAGATCTAAGTCCGATTGGTTGCGTATTCATGAGGAACCCCGATTTGGCAGCCGTTAAAAAGCCTCCGAAAGGCCCGACATGTCCGACTCCGTTATCAAGCGGATAATGCGGCAGCAGAAAATAGTGACTCACGAAACAGAGAGGGCATCTTGAACTGGTCCAAGCCAGAACTGGTGTTTGGCAATTCAATGGACAGGATAATTGGGCCTTGTAAGACTATCCCAAATCTTTGTACGGTTCTCGGTTGACCCGCGCATATGGAATACAAATTTGCCGATACCCTTTGCAAGCTGCGTGAATTTCGACCAAGGAAATAAGAACAGATGATGTACGAATTTCTTCACGGAATCGCGGCTCTAGTGCTGCTAGCTTACACGGCAGAATTCCTGTTCAGTCTAAGCGACGACCCTCGCGAGCCACCCCGAGTACGACCAACGATCCCGTTGATCGGACATGTACTGGGCATCATGAGAGGAGGTCCAACATACTACACCGAGACGGGGTTTGTTCATTAATCAATCAAGGCGGAAGCATGCTTACAACTAATGGCAAAAAGTAACTCAACATCCGCAGAGATGCACTCTCTGGGCATATTCAATTACAAGATTTACGTTAGCACCTCGAGCCGCTTACTCCCCATGATTCAAAAACAATCCAAGAGTTTATCCTTCCGACCGTTTCTCCAAATAACGGCCCGTAAGCACGGCGACGCATCGGACAAGACGTACGAGATATACGGTGGCGATTTGACATATCATCTAAGCCACGCAGTGCGAACCAGTCTTGCGCCCGGACCACATCTAGACGAACAAAATCTAAGGATGGGCAAGCGTGTCTTGATCGAAATTGACGACTTGTTGAACCGTGGCGGACCATTCGAAGCCCGAAACATTCATTTACTTGAATGGAAGCGGCACCTCGTGGTTCAAGCATCAAGCTGCGGTGTCTACGGCGACCAGCACCCTCTTCTTGATCCAAAGGTAGAAAAGGCTTTCTGGTATGACACGCTCTTCAATATGCTACCTTGGAATGGCGCAGTTGAGTAAAGACTAACCTCGCAATGGCAGGGAATGGCAGAAATAACAGCGCATCTAGCGGGCCTAGATATATTCGGAAAGAGACACGAGCAGCGCAAAGTCGTCTACGATGCATATACAAAGTACTGTCGAGAACTGCCAAACGACGGATCCGAACTGGCTCGAGAACACAAGAGGGTCATTCGGGAAGCTGGCGTTGACGAGCTCGACTACGCAAAGCAGGCGTCGCTATTTACCATTACTGTGTTCAGCAACACGGCACCGACATTCTACTGGACGGTCTGGGAGGTATTCTCTAGACCCGGTATCCTCGCCGAGATCAGAGACGAGGTAGAAACACATGCCGTTACGAGACCAAACAACGGTGAATTCGCCTTGGACATGGCGGCTCTAAAGTCCAAATGTCCCGTACTATTATCTGTATTTCAAGAGACCCAGCGAAGGCGTCATGTCAACGCTAGCTTTTCGCAAAGTCATGACGGACACTATGTTAGATGGCCGGTATCTTCTCAAGGCTGGCAACTTTATCCAAATGCCCGGGCACCTCATCCACAGTGACACCAGCCTCTGGGGTAAGGAGTTTGATCCCCATCGATTTGTGCCAAAGAAGAGAAAGGTGCTGCGGCTTTGCCGCCCAGCGGGTTTGTGGCATGGGGAGCACCGCCGCATTTGTGTCCCGCCAGGCAGTTTGCTACCGTTGAGGTATTGATTGCGACGGCGCTGCTGGTCGTGAGGCCTGATTTGCAACCGCATGGTGACGCGTGGGATAAGTTCCCGGCGCTGAATTACAAGGATTTGTCTACGTTGCTGAATCCCCGCAAGGACGTTTGCATTTCTGTTGGTGTCAGCGATAACTGGGTGGGAAAGTGGTCTTTGGAGATGGGAGAAAGCAGAAGTCGCGTTCCCCTCGCGTCGGGATAAGCTGATGCGTATAGTTAATGTGCGAGTGTTCAATGAAAATTTGTGTATTCCAGTCACTCGCATGCTGATACATTAACGCCATTCAAAAGCGCACCAACTTGCACCACAATGACCTCCTCATAGACCTCGAGTATCAAATGTACATATCATACAGCCGGGAGCAGGTGAGTTCGTGTTCCGCCAACAAATGTCTCGTCATTCTCCGCATATCAGTCAGTGTAAACAAAATGTCCACACCGGCACTCACACCACCCTAGGCAACACCGCGGCAAAGATGTAATGCACATGATGCGTGCTACCGTCTTTGAAGCCGTATTAACCATGGTTAGCCTCAAGTCTTGACCATTCCCTTGGCACTACCATTCGAATAGCTATTCATCTGTTCCGCCTCTGACGCCTCCGCCTCAGATCTGCCATCTCGGGCAATATTGTGAACAATGTAGCGGTACCCGATACGCAAGAGACAAAACAGCCAGAACAAGTAGAGTGCCTGGATAAAAGCCAGTAGCGTAAACGTGATGACGCTTGAGATCCAGCACTTGTACTGCTGCGTTTGCCAGTTGAGGACATAGGGACCAACGGTCTGAAATTCGCCTAGCAGCGAGTACAGAATTCTGAGGTTCTGATAATGGCGTAGATATGTCCAGATGCCTATTGACATGCAGAAGAACGGCCCAACAATGGGACTACCAATGTAATGGAGAGACTTGGAGACTTGTCCCACGAAAGCGACATATTAGTATGAACTTGACATATAGGCCGTTGTACGAACAGGGAGAGAGGCCACTTGCCGCGAAAAAAAGTCGCTAATGTCATGGGTGAGGTACACGGCAATGCCCATGTAGGTAAAATGAAAGCGGTAGCTGAGAGCAATCAAGCTAATAGTAATAATGTGATGTGCAATGAGCTCCCTGAAATCCTTTCGAGGCTTCTCCAGTCCCAACAACATGACAATTGCTTGCTGTGCCCAATAGGCGGCTTGGAACAAGTAATAAAACTTGAAGCAGGCCTCGTGGGTTTTGTGAGGAAAGTCTTGGTACATGGCTCGCGTGTTAAAATACCACACTGGCGTCCGTCGCATGGCGTAGACACCGAACGGAGCCATCAAGGCAAAGTACAAGGCCGTGTACGTTTGCTCCATGAAGCGGAGCTGCTTGCCCCGAGAGCGAATGCCGAGACGTCTGGCCAGTGGGCGGAAGATTTCTTGCATGAACAACTCGCGCGTGAAGGACAGGACAACCATGTAGAAGCAGACAAAGGTCACGTCGCGCTTGCCCTTGCCATATTGTACGGGCCTGGCTACGTCGGGCGCAGCAGGCTGTTGCTTGTACGACAGAAAGATGAAGGGGTGGACAATGTTGGACTCTGTAGGACTGACAGCGTATATTGCGAGAAGGACGAGGAGGAGGAGGAGAGGGATCAGCCAGGTGCGCGTTGTGGCGATGCAAAGGCAGCGGCGGAGAAGCGAGGGATCAAGGTGTTTCCTGCGGGTCGTGGCCTTTGCCGTCTTGTTGTGATGCTTGCCGTTGACGCCATTGGACGTGGTGGTGTTGAGAGTCTTTCTTTGTCGCGGCGCAACCCCATTTGCATGTTTCGCAGCGGCCATTGTGACGGGTTGATCATAACCTATTGCACATGCCTTTGCGTCGACGGAAATTGCACGCGATGGCAGACCCAAGTCGCAGCATTAGAACAAAAAAATGGCCACGAGATCTTTTACGGTGCCTCCATTGCCAAGTCCATCTTGACCCGCGTTTCGCGCCGGACACGGATGGCGCCGCAAGATGAAGGATCAATGGACGGGCACGAATGGCGCGTCTCCGAACATGGGACGAATTAACTACGTGGCGCTTGTACCGACTGGCATTGAGCAATTGATACCTGACATGTGTACGGAGTAGGTCCTTGTCCAGACTCCCTGGTCCCCCGTAAGCATGTCAAGTGCTGTCATCTTGTCGTGGATGTGGCTCTGCAGGCTGAGGCAACAGCGTCGCACAGATCACCCTCGCGGACAACCGGTGTTGCTGGGCTCAAATGTTCCAAGTTCAACCATGCATAGCCTTTGATGTTGGTTGGTCACCTGCCCACCTTCTCGGTGCTCCTCCCGTCTTCCCTACAGGCCATGCCTCCTTTCGTAGTCACTTCTGGTTCCATTGTAGACATCATTGATTGATGGAAATCTCAGCTAAATTGTATATCCCATACCGAGTACACCCTGGGCATCCGGCATTGTTTTGCCTCCCATCGTCCGACTCCCCTTTTACCTGTCGCCCGCAGGTGGACGGCCCCAATATCCCGACTCCCAAGTTTATTCGATTTGTTTCTCGCATCCAATACGGTTAAGCAGCTCCTTGCGGTCCCGGTGGCCGGCGAAGCTGACGCCGCTGCTGTTGCCAGTTCCCCTTGCCCCCGCAGCGCGTCGCTCCCGTGCCGCCCAGTCAATGGCTTCACCAACGCACTCCTTTTCCAGGTATCGTGGCTGTTGAGGTCCATCGTCTTCCATTTCCTCTACTTGGTCGCTCTCCTCCGCCTCGCTGTTGCTTCGAAGATCCTCGGCCCTCTTGCCCTGGAGCATGCGCACAACGATTCGTACAATGACTGTGAACCACATAATCATCATGGCCTGCAGAGCCAGGAGGAATGATAGAAAGACATACATGATGCCATGGCCGAGGCACACAACTCCCGAGGGGTTGCGAAAGGGTTCCAGCAGATGGCTCCGACCTGTGGTGGGGATGGGCAAGGGGCCTTCGAGGTTGTCGGCACTGCCGCGATAACAAGCGGGCGGCGTCATTCTCGGCAAGTCAGAGTATATGCTCCAGCACGTCACCATATACAAGACGTGCCGAGCGAGCACCCACGAGATGATGAATCCTCCGAATATAACGTCGCAGATTGTGGTGAAGCCGAGGTACTTGAGACATTTTGCGAGCTATCGTCTTATTGTTAGCTGCGCCGCTTTGCTCTACCGAGCCCAGGTTCCAGTGCCCAACGTACTGGTAAAAATAGATCAATGGCATCCATCAGGATCAGAATGAGGTTGCCGACCCGAGTCTGGTGGTAAGCGTACGAGCCCGCCAGCAAGGCAATGGTAACAAAGTGATGTGTCAACATTTGCCAGTGGTCCTTTCGGCGCTCTTCAATATTGATGACCAGCACCATTTGGATCCAAAAGCCCCATTGTCCGAGAATGTAGGCCTTCATCAAGCCATCTATCTCGCGCTGTGGCCAGTCGGTCCAGAGCTCCTCCATGTTCAAGAAGTACTTGGAGTTGTAGTAAAGGTACTGATGGTTTTCACAAACCGTTAGCCGGTTCAGCATTCACGTCGACCGGTGCTCAAGGCGACGTACCATGCCTACAGGCCAAAAGGCGTTGTAGTACATCAACATCCAGCCTTGTTCGGCGAATCTGGTTGCATCTTTGTTGCCCAGCACGCCCCATCGAGAGGCCAATGGCGCGAGAATATGATCCATGCAGAAAGCGTGAAGCCCGGTAAGGAGGACGATGAAAAACGCCATCAAGTACAAGTCGTCATGCCCCGCGGCATACTTGCCAGTCTTGTCATTGCGGTAAGAAAGAGTGAAGAACTTGGACGTGTATTGCCGGGCCGCGGGTATGCAAGCGTGTGTGAAGAACAAGAGCGCGACAAGATTGAACGAGAAGGCTGTTGATGACGGAAATTGTGTAACGGGTTAGCAGACTCCAGAGTGTCGCGGCAGAGGAAACTGGGTTTTGGTGACATCCGGGGAGGGTGAGCGTACCGACTTGATTGTCCAGCAACCAACGGCTCAAGCGTCTTGCTGCGTCTTCGGTCGGCCGTCTAGTCTTACCCGTGTGTGGTTTCGAGCTCAACTGTTGCCGCCCACCACTTGGAGTAGGAATGCCGGAATTGGACGATGCCAACGGGGTGGGCTTTTCTGCGCTGGCATCCATTGTCGAGCTAATGGCTCTCTGCTGTGCCAAGTTGCCTTCGAATCTCAAGCCGCCGAATTCTTTGGCACAGCCGCGATGAACAGGGAGAATGGTAGCTCAACACACTTGCTACGTGGAGCAGCCGTTGAGAAGCTGTCAGTCACCCATTAGTTAGGTCCCGGAGGGTTATCGATATCGCTAATGAAAGGCGGTGAATCAACATTAACTGAAAGGGGCAGGACCCTCCAGTCCTCGTCTTCACACGGTCAATGAAATTTGCTGCGATTGAGTTGATCAACCTACACCCCAACAAAAATATCCCAGAATAGACTAGTCTCCACCATTCATCTGCGGATCGCTCCCCGGTGGGGTTACCCCACTCTCTATGCCCTTACACCCGCTGCTGGCCCCTCAGGCATCCAACCAGACTTCATGGCATAGGCTCAAAAGAGTCGAGCCTGAGAGTATATTCACTTTTTGTAAGAGAAACCGAGATCGCAACTTAATTGACTTAAAGCTCGTCCTACATGGCTCTTTTTGGAAGTCTGTGTACTTGCGTAACTACTTTTACGTCTAATTAAGAGCTATCGCGCTCTCGTATTTACGCTATAAATGTACTATAGGGTGAGGCAGGAAGACTAGTGCACAATTCTCTCCAAGCTTCTGCTGTGCACCAGACACGGAATGATAAATCATCACAAACAAATTTTCAAGAAACCTGCATATGGCTTTTGTCACAAATAGGCGGAGTTCAGAGTAGCACACTGCGCGCAAACGACCAGACATATTAACACCTAATTTAAATGTACATTCGGGTTAGTAACGTATAAGTTTTCGCCGTGTATCCGCAGCCAATCTAGTCTGTTCAAGACGCAAATCTTATCCTCTCCACAAGCTTTTGCCCTCGAACCTGCCCTGCCTTGAGCATTTCCAGACCCTGTACGATCCCCTTCCACTTTCCGGAAATTTCACGGATGGGGTGGCACTTGAGTTGCCCGTCATCTACAAGTGTTGGAACCATGCATGGACCGCATAGTCGTGTACCTGGAGGCCAGTCGGTTACCTGTGAGCCTGCCTCGACCACCGTTCCCATGAAGTCGCAGCCCAGGACCGCACCCGGAACCGGATTGTACGCAGGCATACGGTAGTCGGTTGGATTCAGGGCAACCGCGGAAACTCGTATCAGGACATCGTATGGTTCCGTCACTGCGGGCATGGGGTTAATGGTCGAAACCACGGGCTGCGTTTGCCCATCGGGAGGGTGCACAAGACACGTCTGCCCTTGAGCCATCGGGTTTTTTCCCCTTGACCTACAAGACGCCCAGCATCCTAAACCGGGCTTCATGAGAGCTTAATCTTCATATCGTAGGTTTGTCTAGCCCCCTCGCCGTCCCTCAAGCCGTTCCAATGCGAAGAGGGCTTACTCGGCTCAGGGTCGGAGGGTCCGACGTTAATAAACCCCCCGACTCGGAGTCGGACATGGATCGACTCAGAGCCCCCAAAGTATATTCCAAAGCATACATACCTACAGACTTTCCGATTGGTTCATGGCGCCAAATCAATGAGTCAGTTGGTTGTCAAGTCTACTTGGAGGAATCTGGGGACGACCGAGGCTCGCATCCCACGCCAAGTGTGTACAACGAGGTGTCTCTTCGGCTTCGTTGTCCTTGAATGGCCCGGTTATGCCGGTTTGATTTACTCAAAGTGCCAAGCTTTGCAAGAGTAACTTGGCAAGGGCTCTTAGAATCAAGTCACACTGAGCAGTACTGACATCATATTTGCTTAATCACCCCCAGCTCTGCGTATAGCTCGTCACGTATATCGCTTCAGGTGTGTGAAGTTCAACATGGAGCCTTGGAAAAATCATTCTCTCTCCATGAATTCCTTCAGTCCACCGCAGTTTGCGGTCAATATGACGAGCGCCGCGCTGGATTTCCTTAGCTCCCGCGATATTAAGCCTCAATGGTCATGGATAACCGTGGCCATTGCGACAATACTGGCAACGTACACATTCGATATGGTCTCGAAATTGTACCGTGACCATAGGCTTGGAAAACTCGGCTCGTCAGCAAAACTCATTCCGTTTATGGCTCCTCTCGGTTAGTCTAGTCTTATATTGCTTTCGACGGCATACCGCGTTCCGGGCTTTCTGACTTTGATATGTGGTCTAGGTCTCGATGTCGGAATCTATTCATTGTACCGATTCTTCACCAATACCTACTTTGAACTGGTTTCAGCATGGTTAGATACATCGCCCGGCCGCACTGTGGAGATGCGCGTCCACCGAGGTGGGAGATGAAATGCTTGCCTATAACGGTAAAATAAACATAGTTGGCTAACATTGTAATATCGCTGGTCTAGCTTCGGCAAGGGAGAGGTGACCAGGCGCTTTTGGGCCAACATGATCGGCCAAAGACAGATTTTTGCCAGTGAGAAAACATAGCTTCTGTCCAACAAGTAAAAATTTGATAAGAGTCGTGATATCTAGTTGATGGCGAATATTGTCACAAAGCGAAAGCGCTCCTCCGTCCCCACGTAAGTTGAGAGTGCCGTGCAACGAACATCTATCTAACACATTCACTTAGATTGGCCACGCTCGTCCCGATGACCTCACAAACACCGAATGCCATGTGCAGAGGTTATTCGAGCTTTTTTCCCGTGAACAAGTCCTCGAAGTGTATGATTGGATTGATCGATTCCAACTTGATGTGGCAACCGACATTTTCTTTGGAGAGTCGGCCGACTCCATTATTTCCGAACCTCCTTTCCGTGCTGTAATGGATGTGCCTACCTAGGCGAGCCATCACGAGAGGTACTGGAGGCTGTTGGATGTAACGATCACAAACTCATCAACGTTCCCGCAGAGAGGTTTTATTCTTCTCTGAAGGACACTGGATACGAATATGCGGACTCGTTCAAAGCATTGACGAACTTGAGGCGAAAGCCTGGTAATGTCTCCGGCTCGGCAGCCACTACGGCGCTGGAGTCTAACGGGAAGACTCTCACTGTTCACCCAGCCGTGTTGGACGCTGCCTTTCATTCCATACTCCTTGCTTTCAGCCACCCGGGTGATGGTCAGCTATGGTCACTACACCTCCCTACCCAAATTCGTCGCATTCGAGTCGATCCGACCTTGTGTGGAGCTGCATGAGGTACTGAGAGCCAAGTATCTTTTGAAGCTTCGATTCCCCTGGGCACTGAGCAACAAGACATGTCTGGGTTTGAAGGAGATGTGGAAGTCCATAGTCATACTGGTGGGTACTGCGCAATTCAAGTTGAAGGACTTCACGTCGTGCGGTTCACACCAGCAACGGCTGGTGATGACGAGCAACGGTTCTATGCCATGCAGTGGATCGATGCCGAGCCGGATGCTGCAGTCTCTGGCTCGTGCCAGCCAACCGCGGAGGAAAAAGAATTGGCAGATATTCTAGAGCGAGGTAGCCTTTTTTATCTACGCCAACTGGAGAGCCAAATTCCCCTTGATTGCCCTGGCCGGTCAGACAAATATCACGCGACCTATCTCAACTTCGCCGCCCACACACTACGAGAATGCCAGGATTCTAAGCCATTCGCCAGCCAATAACTGGCTGCAGGCTGGCACAACCGAAATGTGACCGGCAGCTACCAAGGTCTGGAGGACCTCATCTCTTTGGGTTTTTTCCAGGTCTATGCGGCTGATTGCTTTCGCGAGCTAGATAGTGCAGGCTCTCAAGAGGTGGCCATTATCCCAAGAACCCAGTGAAACGGTAATGAGGGGCTCCTGTTTCTTCGAGTGGTGATAAACTGACTCAGTGCTCTCATGTAACATTAAGCGTCGTCGAACGACAGCCTAGAGACCATCTACGACATCTTTACTAAGGATGCCGATCGAGCTTCAAGCTGGGCAAGAGAATGCCGATCTTGCTTTTTAGAGGCACGTCTCCCTGGCTCTGGCGAGGAAGTTTACCAGCCTCAGCATAATCGTCCAAGACGTAAAGAGCGTTGCTGAGAACGTCACGTTTCCGGAAGAGTTACAAAGCAGAGTGAGATTCATGGCCACGATCTCTTCACGTCGCAACCAGTTCAAGGGGCCCATGTCTACTTCTTGCGCTGGATCCTGCAAAACTGGTCCGACAAGTACTGTATTTTGATTTTGGAGCCCTAGTTCCTACGCTAAAGCGCGTAGTGAAGATTATAATCCAGGCAACTCCAATGCCAGAGCCCAACATAGTGCCTATGTGGAAAGAGAAGAAGGTACGGTCTATGAGAGAAAATACGAGGCTTCATTGGACATGCGCTGACTGGTAGGGTTTTGCAGAGCGACTGATTTGAACATGGCTGCCGCTTCCAACTCGAAGGAGAGGACAGTGGCCGAGTTGAAGTCTGTGCTGGTAAAAAGTGACCCGGCGTTTGTGCTTCATAAAAGTATTGAACTCGCTGGGTCAGCTCTTCGAATGCTGGAATTCGTGTGGGAGGGTACAAATTAGAAAAGTTTCAGGTCAGTCTAGTTTAGACGAAACTCAGTGTCAGCAGGCAATGCACGTCGTATATGGTGCGGAGCAGCTTGACAGGTCACGGGAACAATTTGTACTTGAAGGCCAGGTTACGGATGATACGCGGGAGCCGGCAAAGTCTAATAATACCATCGGACAAGTAGAGACATCTTGAGAGCATACCAGTTTTCAAGACGTGATAGTGGGCACAGACTATATGACAATCTCCCTAACATCTAGCTGGCAGGGGTCTTGGTCCGCGGTAAACGAACGTCTATAACACTCTTATAGCTCAGAGGATTGTATGTATACGTACGTACCGGCTCGAGACTGGCGATTTTGAATGTCCCACACCATTTTGCCTGGGTGCGCTGCATGCTGGCAAAGGCCGGGGGCATAGTCAAGTCAATAGACACAGCGAATTACAAGGCCCTATTAAGAATTGGGCGCTTGGCCTCTATGATAGTAGTAGCGTGCATCCTGGAGACCTTTCCGAGGCCGCCTTTATCCGACGAACACACCTATAGATTAGTTTACTAGCACTTTGCGTGGTGGCGGTAGAATCTAAGACGGGTTAGTAGAAAAAGATTTAAGACAATTAAAGGTGTAAGGTTCATGCCGGTGCAGGGTTCATGCTAGTGTGGCCAAAGTGTTATGCTAGTACAGTAATTTCCCACTTTAATGCGGTAAATGCAAGTCTTAAATAAAAATTTCCATTTAAGGCTGTTCCAAAACCTAGTGCGTTTTATGTCTGTTTTACTAGTAATGCCTAAAACAACGCTGCATAGGTCTAATCTACGCAGTCGAAGATTACTAAGCTTGTTAAAGAATGGCATTTTATGCTTGCATGTAGATTTATATTATTACAACCCGTTTAACTAAATTTCTTTACACACTTAAATATCTTACTAGGTCTCTTCTACTTATCCATTGTTCAACAATTACTCTCGGCTTCATTTATCACAATCTTATTGTCATTCATTAACCATGCGTGTTACTCTTCTCATTACAGCGCTGCCTCTAATCAACGCAATCCCACCAGGTCTGCCTGGAAAGCGTGATGCAGAGGTTCTTAATCGAAAACAGACCTATGATTTAGGCTTTGGCGCTAATAGCGCAGATGATTATACTATATCTTCTAGTGGTATAGATACACCGAAAGGAACGACACCGTCTACTTCTGCCCCTATGGATCCGGGCATTGAGGATAGTGGATTCTACGACCTGTCACCATTTGATGTCGAGAATATACCAAATGGTAGTAACGAAATCAGTAAGCCGTCTGGACCAGGAAGCATCTCCGAACCGGATAGCTCCTTCGAACCGTCTCAATCATGTAACAAGGGCACGAGTAGTAGCAACAATACTGATTATATCTCAATTGTCAACAAATGGCGAACAATAATAGGGAAACCTAGCCTTAAGCACGACGCCTTATTGGAGGGTAATGCTCTCGAAACAAGTAGGAGAAGCCCCCCAGGCCTCGAACATTTCCTTTTCAAAGGAACCGCTCAACAGGTCCTGTGTGGGGGAGACCTATCAATTGAGGACGCTGTTATCACCTGGCTTTGTGAGAGGCCGGATCTTCCGAACATGACGACGGCCTGTGAAAGGTTTACCCCGGGGTGGTCGAAGGATGTAACTGGACATGCGGACGTCATGTCCTCAGCGGAGTACACCAAAATTGGATGCGGCAAGGATAAGGGCATCTGGTCCTGTGATGTGGCTTGTGATGAGCCCTGCGGTTTTAATCTACACCCTGAAATGCAATTGTCGCGAGACAATTCCCCATTCCCGGGGAATTAAGGAATAGGAAATCGTTTGGGCTTTACATGTGTTATAAAAACCTGCGAGTTACAACTCAGGGAAGAAGCCTGGTAAAGATGGAGTAGCAGGTTGGGATGTGCTTCTTCGTTTATAACACTATTTGCTTATATCGCGAGAAAGAAGCGCTATAGTGTTCTTCTAACCTGCTATATCATATTTACATAACTAAATATACGATCAACTCACCTGAGTAGGTTACGCTCACGTATTCTTCCCGGTTCGCTATGGTGCTAGTAATATCGCTGGGGAAAGTATTAAGGTACGAGCTCTAGTGTTATCGACCTGGAAACACCAGAAGGCTACCAAAATCCTTGTGTACACGCAGGGGGTCAATACGACTCAAACAATGTCGCGCCTAGCTAGTATACAGAGTAATCGGCCGGCCATATGTAATACACGTTAATAGGAAATGACCTTGCCCACAGGGAACGACGATGCCACTCGGTATACAATGATTCGTTGCCGGCAGATCAATCGGCCTGGCTCGACCACATTAACATGCATCGACAGCAATCATGTTAAGACCCTCGTCACTCTAACTGTGAAAAACATCTATTATGTTAAAGCTATCCGTCCTGTTATGAGCATCTCCAGCCAGGTTTACTAAAAAACAAAAGAGGGACAAGAAGGATGGTGAGACGTGAGGCACAGGCAAGGATAAGTATCTACTAAGCTTGTATATTAGCTTTCCGCGAGAATAACGTCTCTCTCGTCAGATGCCTGCCCCGGAAGGCAACGTGAGCCAATCCTCCACCGCGAGTCGCTTGGCCGCGCTGGTGCGGGTCTAAAAGCAAAGGCTGAGGCCGGGTAAACAAAGAGTCGAGAATGTCCACGCCTAGGTCATGATCAGATGCCCGCGGCCAGGGTCGTTCTATTGACGGAAGGGGGAAACTTGGGCATAGTGGTTGATTCGGGGGAGTTAGAGTCAACCATTGCGACTCTAAAAAGTAGTGGGCAGATGTGACGGCAAAATGATAGAGAGACTAGAGGGCTCGATCGCGGAAGCATACACTGTAGGACACAAACTGCACCGTGGAATAACTTGCCCCGACGCAAGTAACTTGGAACTAGGCTTCTCGCGGGGTTGTGCGCGAAATCTAGGTTACCAAGAATTTTTACAGATAAAGATAGTACATTCCGAGACGACACTATTGGATTACGGGAAATTATGCGTCTGGCAACGTCTTAGAACGTTAATTTACCTTGGGGAAGACATATTAGGGGGCACGGTATTATATTTACCTTTATAATACATACATGGTGTTAAGCAAGGCTAGCTCGCTTAGCATAAGTATGCTAAATAACAGCTCCGTATAGACGTACTCGTTTAACATAGTGTTAAGTTACATTTAGCATGTAGGTTACACGATCGTTTTATAATAGTAGCGCCCTGCTATTAAAGGATATTTCTCGCTGATCGGCTAATACAGTTTCTTGTTAGACCTCGAAGAACAGGGGAATACGTTCTGCACACTAGGTATGCTTACTAACGTCTATGCACAGACGTGATGTAGAAGTAGGCTTTAAATGGCTTAACGTGGCGTATAAGGAAAGATATATTTTTGTCAGCTGAGACAGGCATTATGGAGGGAATCGTGCGGTTAGAAGTGACACGCCGTGGCCTGCAACTATCAACAAAACGGGCGTATTATCCAAACACCTCACAAATATACCGGCTATTTGAAACGCTTCGCACAGTCCAAGAAATAGGTCTAGTGGCTCAACGCAAAAGTTTTATTAATGCTGGAAGAGATCGCTCGTTTTATCGTTATAAACCCATAGGGTCCCTTATACTTTATAGTGAAAACGACGAAATAGCTTTCGCAGCGTAACCATTATCCAGGCTGTGTACTCATTGTTGAAATGATCTAGTCCCCTAGAGTCGGGGATCTGCTCTGCATCTTAGGGCTGACATCTTCAGGCTTCTGCAGTACTAGACACTTCGCCAGTCAATAGCTTTTGAACTCGATCTCTGCATAATGGAATATTGCCTGGCTCTGGCATGCATGCATCACTCCTAAATGAGGATCTTCTCCCCTAGTTGGAGGGCCGATATCTGCGCTTTTAAGATGTGAAGAGCGTATTTATCGCCCCAATTGCGGAAAACCATGCGTAAGAAATAGGCGTCTGCCTGTACCGTCTATGGATAAAAAAGGTTATGTTTCATGAATTAGACGCGTCCTTTCAATTCTCCGGGAATATCTTGATCGGTGCCTTCAATGACCAGTTGTTTACTGGTGATAGTGGCTTGTGCCACCGTCCTGAGGTACAGCCGCCACTGCAAGATATAGCCGAACGCCGTTTCCCTCTTCTAGTGCATAAAGTCTTGCATATCTTCTCCAGAGTTGCCGGACTGTTTTCCTCTTAAAGTCTCTTGTAGAAGCATACCGTTTTAGAAATTAGGAGTTACGCCCCCCACACTAGTTTTAATAAGTTACTAGTGTTATTAATATCCCGGCTTAGCCTAAACGCTACACTTCTCCTTTCTAGGCTATTTAGTCTCACTATCTAACTTGCCGTTTTTAACGCTACGCCTACTCTTAGCCTCCCTTATTCTCCCCCTCTCCCTCTCGTAATAATTCTTGTCTTTTAAGTGTCCCCTAGCATAGCATAGCGTAGAGTCTATTCACCGGCTACCGTAAAAGGCAAGTTTCTCGCTACCAACATCAATAATATTAGGACAGTATTAGTAACATTACTAGAAATGCTAACGTGAGAGAGGGCTAAGAATAAGTGGAAGAACCACATAACGGCAGAAAAATTAATTATAGTTTCCCCTAAGCCCAACTAACATCTAAGAGAGATAGCCTCTCAAGATAAATTCAACTATTTAACGCACATCTCTCCCAAAACTGGGAATAAAGTGTTCCAAGTCTAGACGTAAACCAGGCAACTACTATAGAGATAAATAATGCAATTACTTCTACGCCCTACTTCTATAATAAATCAGATGTTAAGGCGAGCTCTTTAGCAAAAATTTAAGGACGACTTTAGTTCCTAGACCGAAGTAGCATTCCAAAAAACACACGCTCGTCTTATTCGAGAATCCGGCAACTTTTTACGTGAAAGAAATATCTATTGCACTAGAGACGAGAAGCTGTTTCAACCAGCCTCATAGGAGTTATTCGTGAGATAACTCAGTCCGCCTAGCCCTCAAAAGAAGTTAACAAGCCGAAGCATCGTGGCATTCGTGATGCTAGCCAAGACACGAAAGCAGCACCTACCCCCAGAGACTAACCGCGAACCCTTGGCAGTCAGGACATATCGCCGAGAAGACTACCGACTTAAGCAAGCTATTTACTGGCGACAAGAGGTATAGTAGCAATCTCTATAACTTCTTTTAGACCAACATAATACTCTTTAAGCATAAATGTTAACGCAGTAATATTTCCGAACAAGGCCTTGCAAAAGCGCTTCCAATAATACTCGGAGGGGACGCTATAGCGTACCATCTAGATAACTTCGCAAGAAATCATCTGCCTCACGCGACAATAGCTGCAATGCTCTCAAGACGATTCAAGACTACTGGGACAGCTTACGGCGCACTACACTAAGGAACGTCATGGGTGATAAACCAAAGAAGTTAATGCTTAAAGCTCATAAAGACCTCCTTCAGTAGATGAAGCAGATGTATCGAGGGATTAGGGGGCCTTTCCTAGACGACCAAGAGATGCAGAAGGCAACAAGGAGGCTATCACCCATTCGTTCTCCATCAACGATTGCAGAAGCTTAAACAAGTAGCACCTCGTAGCTTTCTTCAGACCGCCTGAAGTTACTGGATAGTCTGAATGACAGCTGTCCCAGGGTAGAGGTTGTGAGCTCGGGGTGATGCGCGCCGTTCACAAGATCGAGATGCTGTGAGCACCTTATTTTTCATGTCGTCACCTCTCTTTCAACAATGACGCTATAGTTCGGACCATGACACAAAAGTGATGGGAAACCGCCCTTGCGGCGCCTAGTCCAATCTAGGTTATCATCAACCGTCAGACACGAAAGCATGACGATATTGGCAGCGGTAGGGTAACACCTACAACGGGACCCACGGTTACTCCGATATATGAGTTGCCCTGGTTTAATTGCTTAACCATGGGAAGCTTTCGTTCAACCGAAATGCCTTTCACAAGAAATAACATCAGTTGAGAATCATTGGTTGAATTCTGGTGTGCACCGTGGTCCGCGGCTCCCGTCCGGATCGCCTCACTATACGAGTCAGATAGGGCTAGGAAATAAACAAGCCCCCGCCGATCGGCCCACTCAGGTATTGAGTGTGTGCGCCCGGCCGATATGAGTCGGTACATGGAGTTGCGGGCTGACTCGAAAATCTCTCAAAGAAGATTCGCAGACATGGTGTAACAGCCGCCTGTTGGAGAACTGGGAGGCTCAAGGCGTTCATGGAGGGTTAGGGTTATGTGCCGAACTCGAGTTCCCCGTTCATCGATTTGTACGACATGGATTTCTCGACGCGTGGCGGCCCCATTAGAAGGCCTTTCCGCATGAGCTAACTAAGACCGTCGTAATTTGACACGCAGAACCATGAGGCGGTGTTATTTGCCCATATTAATCATGAGTGGGAACCCGTCGGCGTCGGCTCCGGATTGCCCCCACAACCGCGAGTCCGAGACTAGATTTTGTAGTTATTGCTTCAAGCGGTCATTATTTCGGAGCTAACCCAAGGTGTTTAAATATGTTTAAATACAAGCGTGAGACTCAATAAGTCGATTCCATCGCAACATTGCTACCACACAATCCTCTCTCTCTCAGCGTACTTGAACAACCAAATCGAGTTTGGAGCTCTGGAAACCATGGTCCGGTGTCACCTTGCAACAGCGTGGGCATTGACTTGCTTGCTCCAAGTCAGCTCACCAACCCGTTAAAGAACGCGGGCACTCGTCGATATGTTGCCCCAAGTTTTGACTGGACCAATGTACGTACATTCCCTGGAATGCAGAAGTCGGATATGTGCGCTTGCTTGTCCACTCTGGAGCGACTATTATTCTACAAAACACAAGTCTCTAGATCCTCCTCTTGTCATTCTTCTTCTAGCGTCCTGCCGCCAGAAAAAGTCCAACTGGGTTCTTTAGATCTCGCCTTCCACCTCGCTGGCGTATGTTGATTGCTTCAACGGACTGCAGTGCGCTCGTTTACAAGTGCCCATGAATTGGAACAGCACCACGGACGAAGACACTGTCGCGGTTGCCATAGTCCGGGTTCCAGCCCGAGTTCCGGTCACTGATCCGCGTTACGGCGGCCCGATTTTGGTCAACCCCGGCGGTCCTGGAGGATCTGGCGTTGGGGTCGCAATTGCTGCGGGTGCGAAAATGCAGGCAGTTTTCGATGCGGCCTACCTTCACAATAGTTCGTCCTATATATCTGACGAACCAAGTGCCAAGTATCTTGACATTATTGGCTTTGACCCTCGCGGGGTAAAGAACACAACACCATTTCGGACTTGCCACTCTAATCCTGCCAACCAAGTCACTTGGTCACTGCAAGGAGACCACCTCGTCCTTGGCTCTCCAGAAACAAATACTGATTATTTGTGGCAGCGTTCTGTTGCTTTGGGCAAGAGCTGTCCATGAAGTGCCAAAATTGCCAACTTTATAACCAGCGCCATTATCGCCAGAGACATAATAGAAATAGTTGAGCGTCATGGAGAATAGAGAGAGAGGCAAGCAGCGAATAAATCTACGGCAAGACAGAGGCTTGCGTGGAAGAAAGGGGAAGAGCCCATTCAGTATTTTAGCATGTCTTACGGGACTGTCCTGGGAGCAACTCTTGCCACCATGCAACCACATCGCATCAAGCGTTTTCTCCTAGACGGAGTCAAGGCCGCAAATGCTTATTTCCGGGGCGAGTAGCAGCCCGATATTGTCAATGCTAACGAGATTATGAATCAATTTTTCGACTACTATACAGCAGCTGGAACTACGAAATATCCATTTGCGACTGATTCTACCGCTGGTACGCAAAGGCGTCTTGACAACCTGTTGGCAAATGTCACCTCGTCTGGGCCACTCGCGGTCGCTGGCTCCGATAGCCATGGCCCGTCGATTATCACCTTGAGCGATATCAAGAAGCTGCTTCTGCAAAACCTTTACTTCCCCATAGTTACATTCTCTTCTTTGGCGACGGCCTTGACACCGCTATCATTAGGCAACGGATCGGCGTATGCTGTTGCCCAGCGAGCTGCGAAACCAATCTTTCCACAGGGCCAGAATTCTAATAGCTTTCCCATCATCAAACCAAGTACGGCGTTAATGTCTGGGCTATAATTTAGATGAATGTTTTCTCGTGGATTGCCAAGCCAAAGTTCACATTCGGGGACACGCACAGCATCGCATCCAACGTTACCGCCTATCCTATTCTATTTGCTAGCAACACTCTAGACCCCGTTACTCCGCTAGTGCCTACGAAGAAGCTGTTCTTAGTTTATGCGTGCTCTGTAAATCCTATATAATGTTCTAGCCTCTACTAATATGTAGCACTTCGCCTAATAGCTTATCTATCTTAATCCCGTTATAATTATTACTCTTAATCTTTTTCTCCTATTCCTTTAAGACTAACCGGTCCACGATCTAGCCTATCTCTATTATAATTATCCGGTATCTCGCCGTGCTAATACGCATACTAAGCCTAGTTCTTATCTCGCGTGCGAGCAGAGAGCTTAGATTTTCCGTCTTCCACCGCCTTAACGGACCGTGCCTTCACATAAATTCCTTAAGACTCGGCGGCGTTACTGGGAGCACCACTTCTTGCTTTGAAAGCTCTTCTATTAGTATCAGCCACGCAATGTATGCGATGAGTACACGGCCTATATCGTCTGGCAGAAACCGTGCGACCTTCCAACCTATATTACATATTAACTTAGTCTTTTCGCGATCTATTATAATTATAACTAGAGCTTTAAATGTATTGTAATTTTTGTATTTTTTACTATACTATATTATATTATATATTAAAATAAAGTTTAAGATTACATGATCTTTTATA